CAGGCTGACATGTGCCTCAGGGATTTGGAATGCTTCTGCTGGAAACTGCCGGCCCCGGGACCAGAACTGTCACCTCTCTTCCCTGCTGACTCCATGTTTGTGTCCCCAGCTATGGAATCTCACATCTCCCACAGCCCAGCCCCTTCATGATCCAGGAGATGATGGGGCTCCAGGAGAGGCGGAGAGGGACCTTGGACAAGGGCATGGAGTGACAGGACAATGGGGAATGGCTTCGCACAGACAGAGGATGGGTTCAGATTGGATATTGGAAAGGAATCCTTTCCTGTAATGGTGAAGGGGACCTGGCACAGGTTTCCCAGAGGGGTGGGGTCAGGTAAAAACAAACACAAATGCTGCCATGTCTGAGGAGGAGGAGGAGGATGAACCCTAATGAAGGGCTGGAAAGAGGATCACAGCACCCCAAAATCTGGTCCCTAGTAGCTTTTATTGCACCATCAAGGGGATTGGCAGTAATGAGGGTGGGCTCTGAGTGCTGATAACATGGCTGCAAGCAACTGAGTGCTGTCCTTCCTTTGGGCTGTGGCAACCTGCATTGGAATGACAGAAATTGAATTCTCAGCTCAGATTCCTTTCTTGAAGCTGGGGAAGGTTTTGGCAATGATCCGAGACCTCTTCCCAGAATGGGAGTTGTTTCTGAGAAGCAGCCAAATGCTTCAGCAGTGCTGTGAGCACTCGCAGCACTGCCAGCAGCCCAGTGCCACCAGCACCAGCAGCAGCTCTCTGCTGCTGGAAGGAAAATGACCCCTCAGGGTAGGGAAATGAGGAATGGCAGAACCTGCTGAGAGAGGGAAAGCATTTGGAGAATGTCCCATTGGGAAGAGTGTTTCTAGTCAGGAGGAAAATAGGAGCCACTCAAAGAAATCTGCATGTTGAGATATTTCCTCTCTGGCAGCAAAAACTTCAAGACAAACAGCTCTGAGGAAGTGAAATTCTGACGTAGCCAAAGATTAAATTTCCGATTGTCCCACCAAGCCTTGCGAAACAACTGAGGGACAAGGAACAGAGAGGAGCCAGCAGGACAGCAGTGAGGAGCTCCTGGTGATCTGGGCACTTTCTCCTTCATGTCACTGACCTGGCAGGAGCCGCTTTAGGACATGGATCCCAAAGGAGCCAGAGTTTCCAGGAAGCGCCACTGATCTGCACAGACCCCTTTGCCTGCTGCTGACCCACAGGGAACAGGTCAGTGGAATGTTTTCCTTCATCCCTGCCCCACCTTCCTCTCCTCCAGCAGCTGCTCTGCTCCTGCCACCATCTCCCAGGGACCCCAGTGCCCTCCCCAGCTCCTCTCTCTTCTCCTGTGCATCCCAGCTGTA